TATGATTGATGAATACGTGTATACAAATGATAGTGATGATGTTTTATATTACCTCTAAAGTTAAATTCTATTTTTTAAGTTCACGTGACATGATCATTATTATATGTTCACCTAAATAAGAAGAGATAATGATGAGATACTAAGTGTTGTACCACTTTTCACTCCATGAGGATGTAAGGAACTTTCCTCTGGCTCATGGGGATTAGAGGTTTAACAAAAATTAATTATGATTTAAAGGTAATTGGACTAAAAGTTTGAGTCACTCCCTCACTCCCTTTGGTCTTGCACACATGGTACAAACACAGGGCTTTAAAGTAATAAAATACACTTTCATAAGTTGAGCATAATTGGTTGTGCATCTTACCCGTGTTTTGTGTGCAAAATATTTTATGGTGATATTTGTACGCACTGAGCTTCGACTCACGAGTTATTCATGAAGTAGTTAAATAACCTACGACTCAGTGATGGACTTGACGAAGAACGTGTACAACGGAGGTTTGGGTCCATATACCATCATGCAAAGAATTCCGTAAAGTTATTTTGGTTTTAAATTCCAAAGTTATGTTTTCATACAATTAGTTTTCCGCACATGTTTGATTACTGTTTAAAAGATGGATTAAATGATTATATCTTTATATTAGATACTTGGCTAACGTATCTTCAGTTTGGAATATTAAAAATTAGCCAAAAACTGCTTGTATATATATTGTTACGCACTATGGATGTTCAAATTTATATTTCTGATTCACTTAAATAGATTATGAAACCTGTATATTTAAAAGATAAGTTATTTCAAAAAAAGTCTTAAAAACAAAATTTCTGAAATTTTAGTAAGGGATAAAATTATTTTGGTATCTTATATTATAACAAAACATTGAGTTGATATCCTTTATTTTTAATAATATTAAAATAGTACCTCAACTTTTTAGAAATCTTTTTTTTAATACCTCCAAACTGATTTTTGGGACATTTCTACCCTTCTATTTATTTAATTAGAAAGTAAATATTAAAAAAATAATAATGAAAATATGTAAAACTTTTAAGATAAAAAAAACTTAAAACAGTAATCAAACAATCAGATCATCGACAAAAACCAAGACTAAAGAAGCGGATTGATTATTTTAATTCTTAATACCACAAACAACCCCAACTATAATTTTTTTGATACCACAATCAAATGTGAAACCAAGCAATTCTGAAAACATAGCATCCTTTCTTAATTATTCTTCTTTGTTCTTCACACACTTTGCTGCACTTTACCTCATGAGCTAATTATCTAACATCCTTGCTTTTATATCCCCAGAAGAATTGAAATTAAATCAGCCCCCTTCTGCAATAAAAACAAACAAAAACACTCATTTTTTATCTTTTTAAAAGACCCACGGTGTTTGGTGTTGGACGTGCCGTGCCCAAATCAGCCCCCTTCTCCAATAAAAACAAACAAAAACACTCATATTTGACCTTTTTAAAAGACCCACGGTGTTTAAGGTAGTGGTGTCAAAAGTGCCGTGCCGGGCCGTCACGGCACGTCCAACACCAGGCCTCTTACGGGCCTGGGCCGGACCTAGCATGGCCTTGCATAGTGCATGGCCATGCCTGGGCCGGGAATGAGGAGAAAAACTCAGGCCCGCGGTCCTAGTTCATAAGGGCCAGGGCCGGGCCTAGGCACAGGCCCTTGTATTTTTTTAAAAAATTTAATTAAACAAATATCATATGCCCCCAAAAGATGTGATTTTTTTGAATTGACATAATAGAAAAAAATACACATAAATGACTGCCTCGTTAAAAACCTTGCCAAGTAAAATCTGTGGGAAGATCGGGACAAAACCTTAGCGAAGGAAAAAAGAGTGCAGTAGCTAGGAGTCTAAGAATAGTAAATATCTAATTTTATTGCATCCCTCCCACAGATCAGAAGTGCAAGAGACAGTAGCATTAAAGGTCTTAAAATTATCAACAAGAGATTGTCTCATTGCATAAAACACTTTCATGCAATCAGAACGAGTTGTGTTTCTATTTACCCATTTAAATTGTGGGCAGAAGGCCGTCTAGATGAATTTTTCGAACGACGCATCATCTGCAAAAGAAAAAGGCAATTCGGCACTAGATAGAAATTTAGCTAGTGCCTCACGAGCACGTTGTGCATTGTATGTAAAATTTTGTAACCCCTGTAATGTGAGTGATAGTGTTTGTTGGCGGGAGTCCACACTCCCACCTTGGTGCAACGGTAGACATACTTTCCAATGTCTATCTAGATGACCAGTACCCCCACCATTTTTATTAGAAAAGTATTTTTTACAATATTTACATACCGCACGAATTTTCATTTCACATGTTTTTGGATTTGGTCGGGGTTCCTCGGTAAAATGCTGCCATGCCGGAGAAGTTTGCAGTCTTTTTTCCCTGTTGCGTTCTCCAGCTTCCTCGTTGTACACTGAAACATTATCCACCGGAGCATTTTCTGGGTCACTGGGGGTGGGGTTGGGAGGCATCATTTCATCCTCAAAATATGCCTCATCACCAAGCTCAAGAAAAGCAATGAAATCATGGAAGTTTGGTACGGTCATTTTCTGAAAATTGATTGAACTTGAACTTTGTAAATGAAAGAGCAAGAAAATGAGTGAACGCGAGAAAAAAGCTTAGAATCAAAATGAAATAGACAAGTTGAGAGATAGAATGAGATTGAGATGAGAAGTTGAGAGTGAATTGTTGTGTGAGATTTATGCTGGAATTAAAGAGTATTTATAGGGGATTTTTAACCGCTTTCGGATTCTTACCGTTGGGCCCTTCGCAAGCCCAACAGACGGCCCGTGACGGGCCTAACGAGAGGGCCGTCACGTGCCGGCCAATGACGGGCCTAACGGGAGGTCCTTCACGTGCTAAACGGGAGACTCGTGATAGGCCAAACGGTAGCATTTAGAATGAGCTATTTCACGGGCCGTTTCGCGGGCTTGGGCCGGGCCGAATAAGGGCCGAATCTGAGCTTGGGCCGAACTAGGCTAGGGCCGTGCCGCGGGCCTTCACGTGCTAAGGCCGAGCTTAGGCCGCGGGCTGAGAAGCCGAGACCCAGCCTTAACCTATTACACATGCCGGGCCAGCACGACCCGTAACAATAGCGAACCAGATCGTACCGAATCCGGTACTATTACGGGCTGGGCTGAGCCGTCCATGGACCGCCCGGCCCATTTGACATCTCTAATTTGAGGGATGTCTCCTTGAACTAGGTTCAAGCTTTATAATAAATTATCACATTTTTGGGAAAACCAAGATAAATGGTAACAGAGTTTCTAGTTCAAATCTGTATACAATAGATGTGCCCAGCCCCTTCTTTTTCCATCTCCTCTCCCACCAGACCAACCTCCTTCCGCCTTAGCGGTTGCTTATCAGACCCGCTGACCTAGAAGAAGAAGAAGCGCCACCTTTTCGCCACATTCGCGACGGCGAGGGTGTGGGAAGGAGAGGGGAAGGGAGCAAACCGGACAGTATCTGAGATCTGTGATGGCTTCGGCTTCGAAGGCGGGGCCAGCAGGCGGCGACGGGATTTGGCCAGCAATGGGTAGGGACAGGGATGGTAGGGGTGGGGCTCTGAATATGGTTTTTTATATGGTTTAAATTTGGGTTTTTTTTTTTTTTTTTTTTTTTCATTAGAGCTTGTTTAGAAGCAACTCTAAATCGATTCTTCTACATAACTTACTACAAAACACAACCCAAAGGTTCAATGTCAATTGGTTTTTTCTCGGTTTTTGATGAAGTAATAGGAAAAATATTTTCTTCCTTTTATTTTTGGATATGAGATGATTTTAAAGAAAAAGATAATATTTTCCGAATATTTTACAATTATGCTTTTAAATTTATTTTGTGTTGAATTAAGTGAAAGGGTGTTTTTGACATTTTATGTCCCAAAAAAGCCTTCACGGATTCGAGTTTTCAATTCTAGTTGAAATGTGATATTTTCTTAGAGTTTTTAGCTATAGCAGAAAAAGTTAAATGTGATATTTTCTTAGCGCTTTTAGCTGCAGAAACTTAGGCCATTTTCATTTCACCGATTCAAGTTTTGCTACAGTAAAAAGCTCTCAGAAATAGCTACATCTAACTTTTTTTGCTACAGTAAAAAGCTATCATATAAAGTCATATCTTAACTCAAATTAAAAACTTGAATTAGCGAACTAAACGGGTATTTAAAACTAAAAACTCTAATCAGTTAAATAAACGAGACTGAAATAATTGTGTTTTATTTAAAGGTATAATTTTAATATTATGAAAAACACATGGTACTAACTCAATGTTTTGTTATTACAGAGGGTACTAAAATGATTTGATTCCTTTTAGTAATTAAAGTAATTGAGTTTGGAAGAATAAAACTGTTTCTGCTATATAAGTTTATAATAAGTTCATGATTAGTAACAACTCGGGAAGTTCGGTTGTTACACTAAAACAATACAAAAAATTAAAGTTAATTTTTACATACATACATAAAATTTTAGTTTTTTTTTAATTTTGAACTCTAATTTACATAAATTCTATCAAATTTTAACGCATTGTTAATAAAAAAACTGAAACTGAAATAAAATAAAATTTCAATAATTATTTGTGTGACATTTGAAAAATTAAGAATTAAAGTGAGTTGAATGTATTTGTAGAATTAACCCTTTATTTAAATTAATTTTCTTCATTAAAAGGAAAAAAACTTTTAGCTCCTCCGCTTTCATACTTCGACGTTGGAATTACCTATGACGAGTTCAACAAAATATCTGTGTACAAGTGATGCAATACAGTAGTGTTGTTTCACATCTAGCAATGATGAATCTCCACTCACAATATACTGCCACGTGGAAGAGAGAATCCAAAATCCAATATCATGTAAAACACAAACACAAAACAAATATCTATCCCGTTATCCACCTAAGGAAGCAGTGAAATTCCACGTGTAAAATCCCAGTTGGACAATGAGATCCTGACCTAATCCCAAACTTGGGCCGTCTCCAATATCCACCAGGAGTTCAACTCCCACGTTGGGCCCATAATCTGAGGTCTTTGCTAACTTATCGTTATGCTCATGTGATTGTGGACATCATTCTTAACCGTGTCCAGAGCTAGCTAGGCAAAGACCAAAGAGAGAGCAAAAAGAGAAGAAAAAATGGCAACACAAGCTTTGGTGTCTTCGTCGTCTCTAACATCCTCAGTGGAGGCTGCAAGGCAGATTTTTGGAAGCCGACCGACCCAATCCACGAGGAGATCAGCTTCTTTCGTGGTCAGGGCCGCTTCAACTCCTCCCATCAAGGTTTGTTTTGCCTCGCACTTTTTTTTTTCTTTTTTTTTTTTTTTTTTTTTTTTTTTTTTTTTTAAAGATAAAATTATATTGTAAATTAAGAAAACACACACACTAATATCACCTTATATTTTTTGTGTCAAAATAGTTAAGTTGATAATTGTCGGATTAGAGGTTAATTAGGTCCAGAGAAACAAAAGAAAAAAAAAAAAAAAAAAAAGTGAAGAGTAATTGAATAAAGTGATGACTCATTTGTGAATTGATTTTTATTTATTTATTTATTATTATTATTATTTTTGTCTCTGTGTTTGAATTCAGCAAGGAGCGGACAGACCCTTGTGGTTTGCATCCAAACAGAGCCTTGCTTACTTGGATGGCAGGTAATTCATGCAGTAACTTTAACACTCAATCTTTCGTGTAAAAAAAATAAATAAATAAAGTGAAACAAATTTTGACTATAATACTATTATTAAAAAGTAAAATTAATTAGATATAAAATGGTTTATTTAAAGGAAAAATATATGGTAATACCCTTTTAATTATAGTGTACTTTTGAATGGTAGCTTACCTGGTGACTACGGATTCGATCCATTGGGCCTATCGGACCCAGAAGGCACAGGTGGGTTCATCGAGCCCAGATGGTTAGCCTACGGTGAGGTAATCAACGGGCGATACGCCATGCTCGGAGTCGTGGGGGCCATCGCACCAGAGATTTTAGGAAGTCTTGGTCTCATCCCACCGGAAACCGCTCTCCCTTGGTTCAAGACTGGAGTCATCCCACCGGCGGGGACATACAACTACTGGGCCGACCCATACACCCTCTTTGTATTCGAAATGGCTCTAATGGGCTTTGCGGAGCACAGGAGGTTCCAAGACTGGGCCAACCCTGGGTCTATGGGCAAGCAGTACTTCTTGGGCTTTGAGAAATACCTTGGTGGGTCCGGTGACCCAGCTTACCCTGGTGGGCCTCTGTTTAACCCACTTGGGTTTGGGAAGGACGAGAAGTCCTTGAAGGATTTGAAGCTCAAGGAAGTGAAGAACGGAAGATTGGCTATGTTGGCAATCTTGGGTTTCTTTGTACAGGGCCTCGTGACTGGTGTTGGGCCGTACCAGAACCTGCTTGACCATTTAGCCGACCCGATCCACAACAACATCTTGACTAGCCTCAAATTCCACTAAAAAAAAAAAAAAGAAAAAAGAAAAAAAAAGGGGGGGGATTGTATTATATTTACTATTTAGTGATGTGCCCTTTGTTGCTTGGGACAAACCTTTTTGGGGTCTGTTTCCGTTCTTTTCTTCCTCTCATTGTTACGTTATGTGAGAATCTTTATTGCTATCCTTTTCTCTATAACTCTGTAAGAATGACTTGTTAAAAGAAGAACTCATCAATACAGACATGCTAATAATGCTAGTACACTTTGGCCAGACTTAATCCTTAATTAGAGGGGGCAAAAAACAAAACAAAACAAAAATGAAGGAGAGAGAATAACACTTTTTTTTTTTTTTTTTTTTTTTTTTTTTTTAAAAAAAAAAAAAAATTTAGAAGTAAATTTACCATGAGGTATGCCTGCAATCGTATTTATCATTATTATTATTTTTTAAGTGCAAGCTATTTACTCTTTACTACTAGTTGCAATCATAATAATGAGTTTCGCCTAATTTAACATTACCACACGACAATATGCAAGCATATATATTACAGTTTGTGAGTGAGTCCAAAAATTCTTTTAATGGGAAAGTATATAAAAATAGTGATTCTATTAAGTGTGGGCACACTATAGGAATACTGTAATATATATATATATTTTTAAATCATTATAAAACTACGCGGAAAATACTATATAACTTTATTCCTACTTAAAATTTACTCTTTTTAAGTTGACGTGTGTCTGTGGGGAGGTTTTTGTAAAAATAACTCTTTTGAAAAGTTTTATTAGTAAAATAACTTCTCAAAAATTTTTATTTGTAAAATGACTTTATTTTACAAAAAATAAATAAATATCTTTCTTCATAAAAAATAAAAAAATATCATTTTATTAATTTCATTTTGTTAAAAAATCATTCTAGCATGTTGCCCCAAAACGTCCCAACATTCTTGGTTTTCATCTTATGGAAATGGAAAGCAATTTGCCTCTGACGGTAGATCTATTTTATGTCCACGTGTTTTCCCGCTCTTAAGACATGCACGGTCCCGATCAGATTCCAACTTGGTGATGCCAAAAAAAAAATCTATGTGAAATTGACAAAAGAATATATCCTGCCGGCATAAATTTGTAAATATTAATTTGTCGCTACTAAATATTATATTTATCATATTTTCATGATTGAGGCGTGAGAAGTTTACGTTGATGTTAGAGGTGTAATTTTACCGTTTTGAAACAAGCAAATTATCCCTAAAAAAAAGAAATTAAGCAAATTATTGTAAAGGTAATTGACGTTAATTACCCTTAAATAATGATGCCCTTCAACACAAATCTGCTCTGTAATCCAATCCCAGAGACGATCATTTCAATTTGGACACTATATTTGGAATTCAGGGATAAATAAAAGGATCGGAGATGAACTTGTCACTAATTAATATGTTAAGGATGAATAGTGTCAATTAACTTTTTTTTAAGGTAGTATAATGAAATCATTAAGCAATAATAATTTGAGCATTTAAATAGATTATTTATTTATACACATCACATATCCAATAACTTTATATTTTTCAAAATTAATTAATCTAATTGAAATTGTAAGAACCTTTATGCTATGTATCTTTATTGATATTTATATACATCATTGTATCTTGCTTTTATCAATTTACTTAGTTTTCTTACAAATGCTTTTGCATACCTAGGAATTAAGGAAAACTTATTAAAGTTCGAAAATTACTTTCTATAGTTGGTCATATTTGGGAAAAATATACGAATTTTTATATTTACCATTATTTAACAAAAAAATTTATACTAAAGAAAAGGGAAGAAAAATAGGAATAAGAAAAGAATGAGGAAGAATGACTAATGTGTATTTTAGATTCAAGTATATGGAATGGGCAATATGCTAGAATGACTTTCCAACAAAGTGAAATTAGCAAAATGACCTTCTCTTATTTTTTATGAAGAAAGACATTTACTCATTCTTTGTAAAATGAGGTCATTTTACAAATAAAAATTTTTTAAAAGTTATTTTACTAATAAAACTTTTTAAAAGAGTTATTTTTACAAATGCCTCGTATGGAATGCAATTTTAATATCTTGACAGTGTTTAATAAAAGTAAATATGGGAAATCACAATATTTTTTTTTTCCAATCTCAGCAACTGATGGGAGAGATTTGGAAGGGAAAAAAAAATGCAAAATCATTTTTATTAATGTGAGATCCACAACATTAACCTCACGTACCAAGCCCAACAAAACGAAGGAGAAACCATCTGAACTGAAATTGTCTTTAGTTGTGCTTTGCTTGGTTACGGTTTTAACTTTTAAGGTTAGATGTGTGTTTCTAATTCTGGGATTATGGACATTGTAAAATCCTTAATTATGAGCTAGTTTGGCATTATTGTACTGTTAAAAATTTTTATTGTTATTATTTTGTTAGTTAAAAGTTGTGAACAGAAACATGTAAGTGTTTGATAAATTTTTTATTTTCAAAGTTGTTGCTTTAGGTGTTTGGTAATTATATATAAAATTACTGTGAAGATGTGCAATTGACTAAAATAAACATACTTTTAACACACATATTTGTAGTTAGGTTCATTCTTATTTTTAAGATCAATTAATTGTGACACGCACTCCGCGCGTGTGTACTTAACATTTTTCTTTTTTTCGACGCGGAGGTCCTAATCTTTTTCTTCGAAAATGTATGGTTTATGTTTTTTATCATTATTTTCTCAAAAATTAAACCCAATAGAAAAATATTAAATAGAGAAGCACTAAAAGGGAAATAACTTTTTAATGGGGTGAATTAGGCAAAAATTATTTAGTGGTACATATGAAAAGGAATTTATTTGGAAAATTTGTGATAAAATATTTTTGTAGAGACATATTTGAAAACAACAAATTAAAGATTATTTATTAGTTATAAGTAGAAAAAAAGTATTTGAGAGGGCCATTTTGAAAAAAAAAGGTTTTGATTATGACATATTTTAGAATAAATTGTTTGGGGAGAAATGTACAAAATATTTCGTACGCTTTATCTCTAAGACACTTATTATCCTTTGGTTGGATGAGATAGATATTCATAATTATTTTACTCCAAAATACTAAAAAAAATGATTTATGTTATTTTTTAAGATATCTCTAAAACATAATTGTAAAATTTATTATTTATTGTTGTTACTTTTAAACTTTTTTATAAGTATAAATTAAAATATTTGAGTAAAATTTAACAAAGTGTATTTATTAAATATTTTTAATTTTTGAATAATTTTGAAAAAATATTTTTTTATTTGGTATGAAAAATAAAATGGGTAGATATAGAATTGAGTTTTATTATTAATGTTATTTTAGTAAATTTGGATAATAACAATGGAAGCAATTGTGTAAAAGCAACTTATGACATGGTTTTTAAATTCTGTTGTTTGAGAACAGTTTTTAGAGGCTGTTAGACAAAAGCAGAATTTAACGAACATGTTAATCTCCTGTAACTTTAAAAAAAAAAAAAAAAACTAAAAACAGTCTCTAAAAACAATGTCAAACAAGCTTTATGTTTAGAAACAATGCTTATAATGGTATTTTTGGGGATTAATATTTTTCCCCCTAACTTCTTCTTTTCTTTTGTTTTTGTTTTGTTTTGTTTTGTCAATGACAAGTTGACAACATATTAATATTGAAGCAAAAGTTTAAATTTCAAAGAGCCCACAATTAATAGGGTATTTTCTTTAATAGGACATCTCTACTCATAGGGTCAATTTTTAAAGTTCTAAAGAGAATTATTACAGGTTTTAGATTTGGATTGACGTATGTTGAGAATGTAAATTATTACACAGAATACAACAACCATATCATCAAACTATATTTAAAATACAAAATATACACTTAGGATACTGGTAGGCCACTAGCCACAATACCAGTATCCAACTGAGATACCCATTGGCACCCAGCCACAAAATTGGTATCTAATTGAGATACCTTGTGGTATTTGGCAGACAATCGCTAGTATTAGCAGCAGTAGTCACCGACAGCTACCAACCACCAGTGCTAACCAAGTTGTTGGTACTTGGTCAAGATACTAATTGGTATATGCCAAGATACTAGATACCGATCGATAACTAACGACTCACTAGCCGATACCACCCAAAGCTGTTGAAAACCACCATTATTGGCGTTGCTAATAGGAAAACCAAATCACGAAAAAAAAAATCAAAATCACAAAAACAAACAAAACATCCACAGAATCCACAAAATATTGTATACAAATTACAAAAATCCAAAAATAACAAACCAAAAAAAATAAAAAACACAAAATCATCTTTGATTTGGCAAGGAGCAACACGGTGGATTTTGTGGAGGAGATCGGCGTTGAACAGAGGAGAATGGAGATCGACGTCCTACAGAAGAGAACGAAGATCGCTGTCATGCGGAGGAAGGAGGTCGGAGCGACTCATCCACAGGTAAGATCTCATTGATTAGATCTGTCATGCCTGGAAGATCTTTGTATCTTTCGTTGGCGATGGAGATCTGAAGGAGTGATCTTTCTCGCGGTCGCGGTGGCTACAAATCTTCTGTTGGTGGAGATATCCGGTGGCTAAATGTTGGCCTCTGTCAGCATGGCGACAATGTTGGGGTCCACTGGCATTGAATTTCAACTGCAAGTTGAGAGTGGCGAAGAGCTTTTTTTTTTAAAAGAAGGTGTCGTGGTAGAGAGAGATGAAGACCTCGTTCATTTCATCGACTCGAGTTTTTAATTTTAGATTTCTACAATTAAAAACTCTTAAAAAATGTCACATTTACCTTTTTCTGGTACAGTTAAAAGCTCTAAAAAAATATCACATCTCATCTCGAATTGAAAACTCAAATCTAAGAAGCGAATGAGGCCGAAGAGTTAGACTGTTGGAGAGAAAATTTGAGAGTGAGGGACAAAGTGAGAATGTGACATCGTGGAAAGAGATCAAAATAAGGGTAAAATTGTCTTTATGGTATCAAATAAGATATTTCTTTTGGCAAAATATGTATACGGGTAGGGCCGGCAATATGGGTCACAACACGACGACACGGCTAAAAAACGACACGAATTTTACGGGTTAGGATTGAGAAAAAAGAGGTTCAGGTCAGAATTAGGTCGACCTGAAATTGATACGAAAACACGGGTCAATTTTGGGTTGGACCCGCCTAACCCAAACACGACACGAAACTCGTAAAAAACTAAAAAATACATATAGTTTTCATTTCATATTTTAAATTTTATTATGAACTTGTGTTATCATGATAGTTATACTTAAAATCTTATACTATTATTTGCTTAATTTCAATGGATGTTATTGTAATTTAGTGTGTTATGAATTTTAAGTTATTTCTAATATGTAAAAAACTAAATAAAAGTATACAATTTTTGTATCAATTTCAGATTCACGGGTCAATTTCGTGTCACTGGTCATTTTCGGGTCGTGTCGTATCAACTCGTAAAGTGGTCGTGTCGTGTTCGTGTTGTGGTTTTTAAAAAATTTCGTGTCACGAGTCGTGTTCGGGTTGACTGTAAATTTAAAAAGAAATGATCAAAACACGACACGTGACACGAATTGTCATGCTTATATTCGGGTTAGGGTGATCCACAAACAGATCTTATGGCATAAAGCATGATTATCTCTAATTTTTGACCGTTCAATCTTGTTAATTCATATCAAATTGAAAAATTTTATTCTATTATATCAAATTGAAAAAATACGTAAAAAAAAAGTTCATGATACAAACCTGACAACATAAAATAGTAAACTATTAATAATTTATTTTTCTCACCCTACTAAAAAAATTCTGTAATTAATAAAAAGGGTGAAGTTTACTAAAACGTGAAAACATTTGGGTAGATCATGTAATTTTTCCTAAAATTTAATTATGGCACCAGAATTACCCCTTGTGCATCGTCAGTTGACAAGCAAGATTAGCATGATTATGACTTTTTTGTTTCCAAAACTTTAGGATTATTCTTTTACAATAAAATTTAAAAAAAAGTTGAAATACAAGTTATAATTTTATACAAATTTATATTTTTTTAAGTTTTAATTTTATTTAACTTTATTTAATTTATTTAAGTTATAATTTTAACTCAAATTATAATTTAAATTCAACTAAAAAATTACACTCAAATCACACTCTAAAAGAACGTGCCTTTTCTATCTTAGCACTGTGAAGCATAAACTACCATTTATATACGAACGGCAGAGATCTGACTTTAACTCAAATTATAATTTAAATTCAATTAAAAAATTACACTCAAATCACACTCTAAAAGAACGTGCCTTTTCTATCTCAGCACTGTGAAGCATAAACTACCATTTATATACGAACGGCAGAGATCTGAGATCTAAGTTCAAAACTCTTTCAATCGTACGGCAACCGAAAAGTCTGTGGGGCCCAAGGTAAAAGCCACGCACCAGATCTAATTCCTCTGTCCTATCAAAATCCCATCGCGTCCACTTCCATATATTTTCTTCACTCGGTGCGCAAATGGCATAAAGCCAACAAAAGCTCCATATCTCCTCGGATCTTCTTTCTCTAATTCTCTCTTCCCAAAACAAAAACTTCGAAGAAAAGCGAGGGTTTCTTCTTTGGAGAATCACAACGCAAAGCGAGAATCAAAGCCTCGTGTCCTCAGATCTGATCTACGGCGATCTGAATCGGTGCGTTTTTCAATCTCTTTGCCTTCTTATTTGTAATTTTGGTGATTTTACGGGTATTTCGTTTGTCGGTGATGTTAATTTGGTTATGGTTTTGATTGGATATTTTGAATCTGATTATTTGCGTTGTCGTTATTTCTATTTTTTTGTTGATGAATTAATTTGCGTTTATAGTGTTCCTTGATCTTCGCTGAAGTTTTACGTTTGTTACTCTGTTCTTTTTGGATAAGATTTGCATGTGTTGTTTTGCTTCTTTTTTTTTCTTGGATCTGTATCTTTGATACGCAAAAGAAATGGGTTTCTATTTGTTGGAAATGAAATTGTGACTTCTAAGAGGCTGATATTAGAAAATATGCTTGTCTTTATGTAGATTCGTTGATATTGGATGTATGTGCCAAGAGTAGAATAGATCCACTGCCAGTACTTTCTTCAAACACTTGGTGCGCGTTATTTTTGTCGATTACGATGGGATTTTCGAGTTCGAGATGGCCCTTAATCCGCAGGGCTTTTGTGTTTTTGGTCCTGTTTGCACACGCTTGTCATGGGTTTTATCTCCCAGGAAGCTACATGCACACATATTCCAAAGGTGATGCCATATTTGCCAAAGTTAATTCCTTGACCTCCATTGAAACTGAGCTTCCATTTAGCTACTACAGTCTTCCTTACTGCAAGCCCAGTGGTGGTATCAAGAAAAGCGCTGAGAATCTCGGCGAACTTCTTATGGGAGATCAAATCGACAACTCCCCTTATCGTTTCCGAATGAACATGAATGAGACTGTGTACCTCTGTACCACTAGCCGTTTGAATGAGAATGAGGTCAAGCTCTTGAAACAGAGAACCCGTGATTTGTACCAGGTCAATATGATCCTGGATAATTTGCCTGCGATGAGGTATGCCCAGCAAAATGGCGTGAACATTCAGTGGACCGGGTTTCCTGTTGGGTATACTCCGCCAAACAGTAATGATGATTACATTATCAACCATCTGAGGTTCAGAGTCTTGATTCATGAGTATGAAGGGAGTGGTGTGGAGATAATTGGAACTGGGGAAGAAGGTATGGGTGTTATTTCTGAAGCCGATAAGTCGAAGGCTTCTGGATTCGAGATAGTGGGGTTTGAGGTCTACCCCTGCAGTGTGAAATATGACCCTGAAGCTATGTTGAAACTCCATATGTATGACAGCATAAGTGCTGTAAGCTGCCCTGGGGATCTTGACAAGTCTCAAATAATTCGGGAGCAGGAAAGAGTATCATTCACTTACGAGGTTGAATTTGTAAAAAGTGATATAAGATGGCCATCACGATGGGATGCTTATTTGAGGATGGAGGGTGCCCGTGTGCATTGGTTTTCTATTCTGAATTCGCTGATGGTAATTACTTTCCTTGCTGGTATTGTTTTTGTTATTTTCCTGAGGACTGTAAGAAGAGATTTGACAAAGTACGAAGAATTGGACAAAGAAGCTCAAGCTCAGATGAATGAGGAGCTTTCTGGGTGGAAGCTTGTTGTAGGAGATGTTTTCAGAGAACCAGAGTGCTCAAAACTTCTCTGTGTGATGGTTGGGGATGGGGTTCAGATTACCGGGATGGCAGTTGTTACAATTATTTTTGCAGCCTTTGGTTTTATGTCACCAGCTTCACGAGGAATGCTATTAACAGGAATGATTATTCTCTATCTTTTCCTGGGAATAGCTGCTGGTTATGTTGCTGTACGTATGTGGAGAACTATCAAAGGAACTTCAGAGGGATGGAGGTCGGTTTCCTGGTCTGTTGCATGCTTCTTCCCTGGAATTGCCTTTGTCATCCTTACAATACTCAATTTCATACTCTGGGCTAACAACAGTACTGGTGCCATTCCAATTTCCTTGTACTTTGTGCTCCTTGTTCTCTGGTTCTGCATTTCAGTCCCCCTAACTTTACTGGGAGGATTCTTCGGAACGCGGGCTGAGGAAATTCAGTATCCTGTTAGAACCAACCAGATCCCGAGAGAAATTCCTGCGCGGAAATATCCGTCATGGATCCTTGTCCTTGGTGCAGGCACCCTTCCGTTTGGAACCCTCTTCATTGAACTTTTCTTCATCCTTTCCAGCATCTGGCTTGGGAGGTTCTACTACGTCTTTGGCTTCCTGTTGATAGTTCTTCTATTGCTGGTTATTGTCTGCGCCGAGGTGTCAGTAGTCCTCACCTACATGCATCTCTGCGTGGAGGATTGGCGCTGGTGGTGGAAGGCCTTCTTCGCTTCGGGTTCAGTTGCCCTTTATGTGTTCTTGTACTCTATCAACTACTTGGTTTTTGACCTCCAGAGTTTGAGTGGGCCTGTCTCAGCTGTTCTTTACCTTGGCTATTCCCTTTTGATGGCAGTGGCGATCATGTTGTCGACGGGTACCATTGGATTCCTCACGTCCTTCTACTTTGTTCACTACCTATTCTCATCCGTGAAGATCGATTAGAAAGTTCCCGTTGTTCATCAACCAGGCGGAGAAGGTTCTCCTTACATAGAAAGAAAGACTTGAATCTTTTTAGTTTTTACTTTGTTGCAACTGAAAGATAATTGTGCAAGGCATATTAGGAAGCTGTCAATGATATTGCTTTAGGGCCTATCATTTGTTCTACGCTTCACGAGAGAACTTTGTTTTTATCATTTGTTGTCATTATCTGCGGCATAATTTCGTCTTCACCTCTCTATCCCATTCTTTAGGGTCTCTTTTCATAGCTAGTGTTGAGCCCCCATTTGGTTTAAGGAATTTGTTATTTGGTTGGACCTTCCATCCTTGTATTCTCTTAAAAAGAATCAAAATAGACGTGCTTTGTTTTCCGACTGGTTGATTATACAATGCTTATGAAATTTTCCACTTAATTCTTTGAGACAAACCATATAATTTTTTGTCAACGTTTTCTGATTGCTCGTGCGTGTAATAGACTCGTATACCATAGATTGGTGTTTTTTTTTCTTTTTTTTTTTTAAATAAATAAATGGATCAGTTAAAAAGCCCCTTCTTCCAATTTTCTATTAGATGGAATACTTGGCTTGGGACTTCTATTGATTATTTCTTACCTAGTCTTGCAATATTAGGCCTCCGGAATTGTGGAGCACTACAGATTAATATATCACCGCAAAATATGAAAGAGATTGCAGACAGAAGAAGACTGCACTGCATTTATACATAAAAAGAGCGTGTTTGGAACTCGTTTTAAAATAATTTTATTTTTTTATGTGAAAATGAAAATGAAAATGTTTTCAATCTCAAACATAAATAATTTTTAAGAATGCGTTTGGTAGTTTTATCAAGAGATTATTTTTAGTATAAAAAAATCTATTAATGTCTCTCTCTGCTCGAGAGAGGAGAAAACGAAAAGAAAAAATGAGAAACGACTAAAAATCGTTTTTCATTTCTCTTTCATTTTACACTAAACTAAAAAATCGTTTTCATTTTTGTTTTTTGTCTTTATTGCGCCAAACGCCGGTTTGAAAACGTTCTCATTTTTTCTTTCTCGAAAAAACGTGAAAAACAAAAACGGAATTAATTCTAAACACGGTCAAAATATTTTAAAATATTTATAAAAGCAAAAACACCGATATTGTTTGGTTTACACAAATAGAAGGCTGGCTTAGCCTGCCATGTTCAACGCAAAAGGCATAGAAGATACTGTTCTGTCATCTCCTATCATTTTATGTTGGTTGGTGCCATCAAAGTCAAATACCATTTTGTTTTCCAGACTGAGTGTTGTCCAAAATCAAGTAAGTCTCTGCAGGGTCTTCATCCAAACTTTGCACTCTTTTCTTCCTTCCTTGAGCTAGCGAAGGAAAAGCTTCTGAAGACAAGCTTGCAAAATTCCCATACGGAGTTTGGGAATCTCCAGCTAATGAATGAGTCTCCCTCTGTGGCTGTAGATTACCAACTTGATTTTAAAGACCGAAAGGCACATAGATTGGCGTTGATGAGTAGTTATATGCAGGGTATATTTCTTGCTGATAGAAAGGTGATCCCGACACTGTAGTTCCTAAATCCGTCACATCCTGCTCGAATACGACTCCGGTGCCCGCAGTTGCACTCATAACATATGGATTGGCAAGCATCTTACGGGCAGTTCCGAGTGCAGTGTTTAGGTATCTGCGTTCTGCTTCTTGACACATTTGCAAACGCCTTTCAGCCTGCAAATTACGAAATGTGTATGAGACATCACATTTGAAACCCCTATTGACTTTGGGAAATTCATTCCATTTCACCTCTTCTTAACCAAAGAGAAGATATATAATTGTCAATCAATTTCGTGTACAAATTTATTCAGCCTTCTATATGAACACAGATTTTCACCAGCTCAGGATCTTTATGGCTTGTTGTGATCTGCAAACTTGCCTCAATTTTCAGATTAAGTTTTGCTTGAATTTCCTTCTGGAGTTCCAATCCTTCATCGATGAGTTCATAACCCCTATATGGTATCCAAAGTAGAAAATGAAACCCTTATCACGCATAACAAAGACTAGTCCAAAGAGATAATGTTGAAATCTTGATCTTACTCAGCCTGATGACATGGTAGAAACCCCAAAGTAGTAATGTCCAGTGAACTTGAGCTCCCTATCATTTGATGGCATTAAACGGTGAAAGTAAGGTCAAAAAGATGAAACTTTATCCGCAGGCAAGGGAAAGGCAAAAAAATAAGAATGAGGTTTAGAATTTTTACCCACCGCAGAGGTAGAGCCATATATATATATATA